CCTGGCCTTACTACTAGGAACAAGAAGCTATATATATACTAGGAGCCCGGAGCCCCACAAAATGTACCTTGTACCTCGCGCCTCGAAGAGCATCCCGAGCTGCATCTCAGGTCCGGCGATCAGTGTGGTGCCACTGTCAGGGATGATGCCGCAGGCCGTCCTCAGGGCCGCCAGGCGGCTGCCAGGCGGCCACGTCCGCTCTTCCGTGTGGGTCCGTTCTGTGCACCTTCACCACGATGGGTCTGGTCTTGCATGCCTTTTTTCGGCTGAAGAGGCTGAAGAGGTCGGTGGGTGAACACAAACACAGAGACACCAGGAAAGACTAAAATAGATTCGCTCACCCCAGGTGTCCGATCCAACTGACTCTTCCATTAATACCTGGGAAGCCGGGCTCCATGCCCGCTTCCTTGCTCTTGGGATCGCAAAAGCTCACCTGCATCTTCTGATCACCAATGGAGATCCCCTGGAAATCCAGGCCCCAGTGGAGCTTGCCTCAGGCGAGAGGCACCGATGGACGTGTCAACGGAAAGGCACCACATGGCCGTTTCTATGGGCGTTTCTGTTTTCAAAAGAGTTCCGATGCGCATGTTGTTGCAGGGTGTCCCTCCCTCCAACAAGCATGGTTTTGTGCAAACGAGCATTTAAAGGTGTCATTTACTATATATACATACTATTTCAGACTATCAACAAATTGCTGAGATTGCTTTCAACCACTGGGGAGGTCGCCTGAGACCAGCTGGCCGCGCAAACGAGAAACCTGACCGATTTGGATTTGGATGTTCATGAAATTTCAGATTCGTCTTTGGTTAAACTAGAGCTCTCTACCTCAAAATGCACGGCCATCCAAACAATGGTCTGTTAATGCCATGTCTAATCAAACTTGCACCTGCGGGTTCACATCCCCCAACCATCCCTTGGGATCCTTGGGTCTAAAAACACAAACGATCGGTCAATTTCACCCCTACTGCGGCACCATACTTTTGGACATCTGCATTCACTTGGAGTGTCGATGCTCACGGACAGCGTCTGGTCCCCCGGCCGAGCGCCCGGGCCGACCGAGCTGAGAGCATTGGGATGCGGCGGCGTGTTGATCCCTAAGACGCCATCAGCCTCGCCGCGAGGATCGGAAGCGACCCTCTCGTGCCATGCCGCAAAGAAGGAGTGTACACGGGAAAGCTGCTGGGTCGGGGTAGTTCAAGGACGAGGTCATGAGGAGTTTATGGCTGAGATAGGCTGTTAGAGATGTCAGAGGGCTACAAAGCCATCTGTTATGTGGTCCAAAGATCCTTCTGTGTGCCGCTTGTCGAGCTGGATTGGGCCTCTGCAAAAAGAGCAGTTAGCCGCTGGCAGACCACAGGAAAACATTCTGAGTTTGGACTATCGATGGACGCCGTTGATTTTTGCTCGTTCATCTGCGCATATCTGCGCCCGTCATGTGACAGGTCGACCAGTGACCGCGTCACCGGTGCCGTGGCGCCGACGGATGGCGGACGATGCGGAGGATGACAGCGGTCTCCTCTTTTGGGCGCCAAAAACACACTGGAAACGGTGAAGATGCATGAACATGAAGAACAGGTGAACAGGATCAAATGAAAACCGAGAAAAACATTCTTAAAAGATCGTTTGAATCTAGAACCATACATAGCAATCATTGCAGAATGGAAGGCGCCAAATTCAAAAAGAAACACACTCAACCATCATGAATCATGATGTTATAGGGAGTCTGCCGGGAAGGTTCTGTGTATTGCAACTATAGGATGCTATTTGTAGGAACCGTTGTACTTGTTTGGTTGGGTGATAGAGATGCCCAACTTCTTCCAACGAACTTTGAATTCGGTCATGACCTCCGCACCCTTCTTGGAGGTCATGGCCCACCGGTCCGGACACGGTCGACCGGTTCCACCGATCCCAACCGGGCGGATTCCGGGTGTCCGCGCGTTTCGGTTGAAGCACATGGAGAAGCGCTGCACATGAGCGCGATCAAAAAAAGCCTCCCGATGTCTGTGACCCGGCCAGCGAGCGAAATGCACCAACCCGAAAAGAGGTCCCAAAAGATATGTCCAAGAAGGACCTTCACATTTAAAAACAAACATGATCTACTGTAAAACAATAAGTAGCAAACCCTATTTGCCTTGGGTTTTGTACCTTTGCTTCCCTGGTGCGGAGTGTGACCACCTGGATGAATCTCGGTCATCAAACTGATATCGCTTCACCAAACTGAAATAGTTGGCCCGTTCATGTCGATCCCTTCATCCCTGCCCCGTTCATCAGGACGTTGGGTTCACTGCGCGTTCATCGCGGCCTGGCACATGAACCATCGATTCCTCTTGAGACGAACCGTCCTGCTTCTCCTGCACATGGGAGGACGCGGCGAACGGAACAAAGGGCATCGCCACGAACGGAGCAAGAAGCGAGACGTAGGGGCGCTCCTGGCATTACTACATAGTAGCAAGGGACGCTACTGGAAAAAAAATAGGACTTCAACTCTGTGGCGCTGTAACTCCTGTCTCAAGAGAAATGATCGCAACTAAAGATGCCGAGCGAATCGAACCGTCGATCTAGGCCACCAGGTATCCAAGCACCTGAAGAGGTACTCCAAGACCCACACATATCCAATGAAACATGAAACATCATGACACAATGAGTCTCACCCTCTGTGGTGGTCATCTACCTTCAAAATATGAGTCAGCCACGGTCGTGGTCGGGTCAAACCCTTCAGAGTGCAATGATATCTTACCCCATCTGCTGTTGGCTTTTGCCAGCAAGATTGGTGTGATAACAAGCATGGACTATGGACTATGGATATCCTTTCTTCAATCAATTAGCATTGAAGCGAAAAAAAAACTGGTTTGCTGAGCTTTGAAATACTCTCCAGTTCCATTTACAACAAGTGTCTAGGGCGGCTGTGTTGGGTCAATACCACAAGGACATCTTGCAACAAGACTGGGGAGCCTTGCACCATAAGAAACCAATCAGAACAACAACCATAACAAAGCCTGCAACCAAAATACATCTCCTTTTCAGTCTCCCACAATCTTCATCACTATCATTGGTACTAACTGTTCAACCTTTCTCGGCTCCTCCCGGACCGGCCGTCCCCAGTGTGGCGCGCCCGGAAACCTTCCGTGCAGTCCCACCGGCGTCGCCTTGAAGTCTGGGCGGCCGAGGCCCAAAATTCCTTCGAACTGACCTCGATGTGTTTCGTCCCCCGCGAGAACGGAGCGGAGCGAACCCGTTTTTACTGCGGTACGGAACGGTGGCTGGGGTGGTACTCCCCCAGAGAAAACGAAGCCAAACTGGATGAATACAAACAATGTTTGAACATTTTAGATTCAACTCTTGAATTCCATCTTCGCTGGCCAGCCGTGGACGTCCATTTGATTGGGAGGATCATGATTGAAGAAGAAGATCTCAGCAGCAAGTGACTCAAGTATATCCTCTTAGTTGCTAGCCAACCAGCGGCTTTGGCAGTCGCCCTAATGCATTGGATGCAGCGTGCCTGTCTTGAGTCGCAGGCTCCCTAGGCTCTTGGAGTGCCAAGGACGTGGCACGTACTTTTTGCTGATTCCAATGCATTTGGGCAGGATGCGTCTTGTTTTGCGGCTTTCTTCAATAAATGGGTGATAAGTTAAACTGATATGTTGTTATTACTGTGTTTGTTGTAGACGTCTTTTGGTGGCATACGGCCAAATAATTGAAATCAGTTCACTAAGGGTTTTGATAAGACAGGTTCAAGTTCCAAAACGGTATACCATTTAAAAAGTCCGAAGAGTGTATACATGATGTGCATGTATACAATGTATACGTGACGTCTACGTACGGACTTGGGAACAAGCAGCGAACAACCGACAGGCAGCACGAACGAAATCCCGTCTGAAAGCGGGTGCAGATCCGAGTTCGCGCGGGGTGTTCGGTCGCCCCGTACGTCCCACGGACGCGAGCTTGCCCAGCTCCACACGCGCAGAAGAGGCGCCTTGAAGCTTGAGAGCGTGATCGACCTAGGCCAAGGGTACAATGATTGGAAGGTCCCCCAAAAACGAAGACCAAGATCGAACGACTTATATAGTTTATGTATAGATGGGTGATTTAAAAAAAAAAAAAAAACTCCATGCACATAAAGATGTTTGTTCATGTCTGGTGGATTCTGGTGTCTACATAAGGGGCCCCAAACGAAGACATGGTGGGTTGTCCCCTTGGGTCATACCTGGAGATTTCGCGCAAGGCGGAAAGTCGAAGTTGAACATCCACCGAACGGGACCTGTGGGCCTTCTGGCTTCATTCCCCGGCGTGGACATGCGTGGATTCCCCCGGCGGGCGGCCGGAGATAGATCAGACGAAAACCCCATCAGTTCGAGATAGAGCAGACCTACCCAAACACGGAGTGGGCCTGGGATGTATTATGACACCAAACATAAATATGTTATGACCCAGTGAAAAGCCCAAGAAGATGGTGCTGCGTGTATACGGTGTGTCTACTGTATATTCATGTACTGAAATTCTCTTGCATGGTTGAAACAGGGAAGACCTTGATCACCTTGAATAGCGACTTTCATAAGCACGGTACATAACTTCACACATTGCATTCTTTGAACCATGAAATTCAAGGTATGTACACTCTAACAATCATGGAAGTGGAACGTAGGCCCCTGCAAGACCATTTTCCTCTCCAAGTAAGCTTCCATGATTGTCTGAGGTAGGGTACACATCATGACAAGCAAAAAGAGACCTTTGGAAGGTACACATGCTTGAGCGTAGCAGCTCTTATCGCATGCACAGTCGTCTGCACGGACAAGGTTCCGCCCACGAGATCCCTTGTCAAACTTCTTGATTCGCACTGTTTTCCTAGTGTCCTCTTCGCAACGTCTCTGCTCATAATCAAATCAATTCAGCCCCAAAACAGGACCGTGTACTACGGCCACCCCAAACCAGCCAGACAGCTGGGCCACACCTCTTTTGGGCTTGTCCCGTGTCTTTTTTTTGGTTGGGCAGAATCCGTCAGTTCACGCCATCATGAGCTCACAGGCATCAGTAGGCTTTCCATCAATACTCCGCATCATCTGCACACTCATGGTACCTGGAGCGGTGTTTCGCGATGTTTCGCGCTGTGTCCATGGCGCTGTGTCGACATTAAAGTGCTGAAAGGACGTGTGTCAAGATGAACCTTTGACATGTCCAGCGTCCAGGACAGTGCTCTGAACAAGCATCACTTCCCCCCATGCTAGGGCTGGCAGGGGCTGGAGTCCTCTGTGGTAGTGGGAACCACGTCTCATCACGGGCGAACGGAATGGTATAGTATAGGCCCGGCGAAAGAACTGAAGGTGTTCAAAAAAACGGTTGGCCAAAGGTTCCTTGTCGCCATCATATCTGTCGGTGACCAAAGAAATTCGGAACAATACCCATAGGATTCGTTGCAAAAAAGAAAACGGGATCAGTCAATGAATGTATCAGCGCATCCATTTGGGCCACTGAAAAAACAACGACCGTTCTGGTGCAAGGAGACCAAAAAGAATCACGACCAGTCCGTCGTCACGAAACCATCACCGGCCTTCTCGCACCACTCCTTTCCGCAAGTCGTAGATCCTCCAGGTGGCGGTGTGCCCAAACATCCCGAAGGCGCCCACGCGGATCAAATATGCCTCACCTGATCGAGGCACTGCAGGGAATCGGGGGGACCGAAAGGACCTCGGACCCAGGCCGCTTTTCACGGGGTGTCACTGGGTGATCTGATGAGGGTTCGGATCCAATTCATACCACATGGACCTTTCTTTTCAGAAAAGTAAAAAAACAACACCATGTCAACCTGCCTGCAAAGTGCTACGTCCACTTGAACAGTCTCCATGACCAACTGAAATGTTCGTTTTGTTGCCGCGCCTTCATCGAACTTGCACTCCTGGGGAGCAAGTTCAATAGTGGCACGGGCAAACATCAAGAGGGGCCACTCAAACTCTAATCACTCACCAGTATCCTTTTGCTCTCAGTTTGTTCTTTTATTGTGTGTCCTATGCTGATACGTTCAGTCAAGCTTCCAGCTCGCATTAAGTCTTGTTTACCAAGATAGGTTGGAAGCGTTCTGCGGTCCAATTCCAATTCGCACCACCCAGTACCAATTAAGTTCTGGCTCTTTCATGCGGCTCTGATGAAAGAATCATGTCACCCCAAGACAATGAATTCCTTTTCAATCCTTTTCACATCAAGGTCTTGCAAGTATCAATACCACCATCATGGACGAGCACTGGTAATTGTATTAGGCCACGGGACACATCCTGCTTGTGATTCCCTGTGATTGAATGCTGATCCTGCTTTTGTTCACCATCCGGCCGACCATCCGATTCAAAGTACGTGGACCAGCAATTACGTACGACCCAATCTTGGGATTCCTATCCCTCCCTTCTCCTCTTGAATGATGGGCAAAACCTTCTCAGCATACAACTCATCGCGGAACTCTCCGCAGAGCCAACCCGTGAGCTTCAACATCTGCCACTCATCCACACTCTTCGTCCCACTGACCTGCAAGAAGTCCTGGGAACGTCGGAAGACACATGGCCGTCGTCGGCAAATGCACGTCAGCGAATGGCAGATCCGCATTCCTCCTCCCCATCCAGAGCTTTGACCCCTATCTGATCTTCAGGAACTCCTGGGTCTATCAGAAAGTCTAAAAGCATCTAGGTCCTGGATTTGATTCCCAGCTCCCAGGATGTTCTTGTCTGGAGTTCCTTTAAGTTCCTCCAGTTCTCTAGCTAGAACGACGAAAGCAAACATGACTCCATAATTGCGGTGGCGACAGTTGTCTGATAACTTGAGGACCCTGATACCATGGTTTTGGTGTCTCAAGTCTTCCCATGTTCCGAACCAACTGGAGCAACCTCCTGTGAGAACAGGGGTGTTGTCACCCTCAAACCAACTGTGGTCCCGCGCTGAAACTCCCTTGCACAGAATAGAACCGCCCTCCTCGATGAGGCGTGCAATACATTTCATGTTGAAGGTGGCCAACCACAAGTAGGCGAAGCTCAGGTATCCTGTGCTCCGAAGCCGGTGCCGAGACTCGTGTTCTTGAGGAAAGAAAGTGCATTCAGCAGTCTTTGAAGAGTCAACCGGTATTCCTCCTCTATCTATCGTTTTGTTTCTTCCTCCTCCTCCTCTTCTTCCTCCCTCCCTCTCTCCTGTTTCCTCTCTTTATATGTACTGGTACATATATATATATATATAATTCATATATATATATATACATATGAGGGACGGTCAAAACTCCTTATTCTTCTTCAACAAAAAATGGACGTCATCGGTTTTGAGTTGGACCTTATCGTTTTACAGTGTTTTGAGTTCGTCGCATACTTATGATCATATACAGCGCTGGGGTTATCGGTTTTGAGGTGGACCTTATCGTTTTGCAGGGTTTTGTGCACAAACCTACCCGTCTTTACTAAAGTGGTCTTCGCATGTTTTGACCGTGGCTCATATATAACCATCCCTCAGGACTGGTCCAAGACGCCCAAGCAGACCTGCAAATAGGGCGCTTCCTCCAAGAACAAGGGATTCCCAATGCCTTTCCTCGGAGGAAGCAGCTGAGCGGCTGGACCGTGCGGGGCTCTACGGCGTATTGGCCAGGTGGGTGAAACACATAGCGGGTGGTTTGATTCCATGGACCGCAAACCCCAATACAACATGTACATGTGGCAAAAAAAGACTCATGCAAATTTGTTGAACAAACAACATGATGTCCAAATAGATATATGATATATATATATATATATAGAAATGATGTCGGATCCTTCATTCCTATCGGCTTGGCGATGGGACATCCGCGAGATCAGAGTTCATGGTCTTCCGGACCATGGGCCTTGTTCAAACAAACGAGGCCACCGGAGGGGACTGAAGTCGGTCTTGGATATTCCGCCCAGCCCCCTTCAGGGCAAACAAGAAGAATGATCATGTCATGTTTCGAACTACATGTGTTGAAAGGTGTCGACTGCCATTGGTCTGAGGGGGAGATGTAGTTTAATGTTCTCTATCGTTCAATACAAGTATGCTTTATAATATATAATGATACAAGTCCAATCAATGTTGACATACGGCATACCAGCCACAACAAGAAGCAAACATTGGACAAAACACAGGTACATCTCCAAGACCTCAAAAAGTGAGTGTTCGTTGTTCCCAAGGTCGGACCGGCAGATTCGTGGCGTTTCGTTTCGTGTTCCACGGTCCCCACGGTCCTTGGTCGGCCAAGGCTCGACTGTCCAACAATCTCCAACTTGTCCTTCACCCTTGGAGGGTAGAGGACGCTACTAGGAACAAAGGGCATCGCTACGAACGGAGCAAGGACGCTACTAGAACCTCCTGGCCTTACTACAAAAGGAACAAGGACGCTACTAGGAACAAGTGCCTTACTAGTAGCAACAAGTGCCACGCTACTAGGAACAAGGACGCTACTAGGAACAACACCCTCGAGACCGACCGACAACCCCTCCCCATCCGGTCAGGAACCGGACGACGGACTGACGGGGCGTGGTGGGCTTTTTTGGGGACAAAAACTATCTACCTGGTTCTTCAGTTCGTGACCGTACTTGATCACCTGGTTGGTTCGGTCACTCTGTTTGGGTCACTTAGGAACCTTCAAAAGGTCACGAATTGAAGAAGCTGGATAAACACTTCTTCCCAAAAGGGGATATTCACTCATAGGGATCACCTGGATCAGTGTCCCACCAGGTTCGGGTTGGTGTCCTTTTTTGGCCTAGCCAGCGGTGCAGTGCTTGGGGGGTTCATCCAGCACGCCACTACGTTGCACCAACGCATCATACCACGTGGGGCCCGTGCCTTTGCGTCTTCTTGACAAAGAAGAAGGACTGGACCCAGTTGCCCGCCCAGTAGCGGTGGCTCAGGTAGTAGCCGACCTGCCGAGTGGATCCGAGTGGAGTCTCCAAACATCGCTGCCAAAGCTAATTCTTCAACGTCGTAAGGATCGGTGCAAGTGATTCAGTCAGTTCTTCTGAGCAAATTCTCGAAGTGCTTGGTGCCCTAAATCGGATGTTCTGGGCTGGCAGCGACTGTTCCTGCTGTTCATGATGCACTCAGAAGACTCCAGAGCACAGCTGTACGGAGAAGAAACACATCAACGCCCCCAAGCGGCGCAGCAAAACTACATCGACGCACCCAAGCTAGTCATATGGTTTTTGCACCGGTTTTTTGAGCGGCTTTGCCGGACAAAGCTTCTGAACTCAGCCGCTTGCTCGTCCTCTCCAAGGGAGTTGCTTTAACTACCAACTACCTTTGAGGAGCATAAAAAACAACGACGATAGGATCTCAAAACTCAGGAGCCGAAGAGCTCTGTCAAGTTTTAAACTTGCGATAGCCGAAAGAACTAACTGGAGAGCTATATATACCCTAGAAGTCCAAGGATTTTGACCGTTCTTTTTATAGTCTTTGACTCCCAGGGTATATATATATAAATATATATAATATGTCAAGCGACAAAATATGCGGAGACCCGTTAGAATCCTCCAACTTGCTCGCTTCTCACCCATCTACCGCAGCGCTGTGTGGTGCAGGCGCGAAGCGCCGCGCTTCGCCGCGCTTCGCCGCGCTTCGCCGCGCTTCGCCGCGCTTCGCCGCGCTTCGCCGCGCTTCGCCGCGCTTCGCCTGGTCGGGCCAAATGTTGCCGTAGCAGCATACCAGCAGCTCCATGATGAAGAACGCGATCAGGTATCCTTGAATCATGCAGCTGGTCAACTTGTCCCATGCCTGTGGGAAAAATGTGTAAAGAGAGGTTGGATGAGGTTCCTTTAAGCTCAAGAACCTAGACCAGGAATACGTGCAAGCAAAGAAGAACTTGCAGCTAATCATGGAACTTATGAGTAGGCCAGATTGAACTGCAACTATACAAGTAGGTCAAATTGTATCCAAGTGTGTCAACACCGTATCCAAACTGTGTACACAATAACTTGGCCAAGTAAGTCTCCACTCATCTCAGAGAGGCTTTGGAAATCAAAGCCGAAATGGCCCAAGTAGAAGAGATAGATTCCTCGCTGGCTCGTCGTGCTCGGGCTGATGTGTGTGCCAATCTAAGTCCTCTATAGATCCCTGTAGATCTCATGAAAAGAAAAACACAAACACATACGATATTGAAATGGATGTTCATCACAGAATTGACAACAGAACTTGATCTACACCTTGGGTTTATCCATGTTCATCCCATGACCCAAGCCCTGTGGATGATGATTGATTAGGTAGCAGGCCTTTCTGAAAAACGTGATTGTCTTTTACTGACTGGTACTGGTAATGGGGCCGCACCGTGCTTAAAAAGATTGTTGCCATTGATTGATTTCAATCCTTCAGCCACTAGCAGAATAAACACAATAATCGCCGTCCCCAAAAGCATATATCTCGGATCATGCGACTTTGGAAGTCTGAGTTTCACTGAGACTTAACATACTTGGACCCTCTGTATGGGCGGCTCGTATTCCACAAAACCGCATTGGTTCGACGGAAGCCAACATGCATTCTTCGGGCCCGCCATCACAACATGTCTTGCTACGGTCAGCGACTGTATGGTGGACTTGAGAAGTTCCCAAGTGAAACAAAACAACTTGACTTGAGGATTTGTATCTCTCAAATTTGACGTACACCGGTACATCCCTTGTCCCGCACAAAAAGCAGGCCAAGGGGGGGGGTCAGGGGGTCAAGCGTGGATCCCTGGAAGCCCATGAGTGGAATCCCGATCGCATCAGCCGATGTTGTGTGGTACACCCTCACCCCGTCGTCGGGTGAGACCCGGGGTCGGATGGGCTCTTGGATCAAACAACTCTCCATGGTGAAGGGTGTGTATTCCTTGAAGCGCAGCACTATCTTCATTGATCTGGTGTTCTACTTTCTCTTCAATAGTGCCTTCTTGGGAAGACCTTGGATCCCTTGTTAGAAGGAAAGATCGCTCCAAAAATGTGCAAAAAATTCATGGATTGAGGGTCTCCATGTCCTTTTGGAAATAGTAGAGGCGTCAGTGCCAGGTACCATAGACCTTTTGGTTGTACACTTGGAGTATCCCCTCTATCAATCAACCAACCAATCAAAATAGACGCCATCCATGGCGGTCCCAGCCTCCGCCGTCCGCTGAAACACGGTCCGTCCGCCGTGGCGCCGTTGAGGCAAAAACACAGGTTCCAGGAGTAGACGTCAAAGGGCGCGGGCATCAGCAAAATGTAGATATGCATGGCCACAAGCAACCAAAAGCCCGTCCAAATGGCCAAGTCATTCGGAATCCTCAGTGAACAAAAGGGGGTCAAAGCCACCTGGTGCAGTATCTTGTACATCAAACACATTGTATAAATTGACAAACATATTGGATGGATCTTCTTGTGGCGGCGACTCCTGTCATGGGTCCCTCCCAATCTTTGAAAGCTGGTGCACAACCATCTCCAAGTTTCACTCAGAAAGCCAACAAATGTGGATTGGACATTGAATGGACCCCAATGTTCTATTACAACTCATATCAACTCATCTACCTGAAGATTCGTTAGCAAATCTGCAAAAAAAAACACCTCGTTGCTGAGAGTTTCATCAAGAGGACTGGTGCCACATACTCCGCTGCAGCTGCGGTGTGCGCCAAGACTTTAGCACTTCGGGTCGGCTTCATCCTTTGCGCCACGGCTGTGCCGGTGGGTGGAGCTGCGGACGTCGGCAAAGAACCGTGACGTAGACGACTGGGATTCGTTCTCGTTCTTTTGACCGGACAAGTTGCAACGTAATTTTCTAGAATTGACACGAACATCTCTATATGTCGTATATATATATATATATACTGTAAATGTGTATATATATTATCTCCTATGTACAAGAGATCAGACTGGAATCATGTGAGACAAAAATCATCTCAGACCCTATACAAGAATAGGCTGCTCCAATATCAAGGTACAATTGTGAAACAGGCTGCACAATTGTGAAAGACAGGCCACAACATCCCCTGCGGTTGAAAATTGTGAAAGCTAACGTACTGTTCTGACATGTTCTGGCACTATTGGCCAGAAACCACTTCGATGGAAGTCAGTGCCTCGAATGCGGAATGAGAAAGGCCATGCGATGCCACATATAGCCATGCAACCGTTTAAAATGCACAAATGACACCGATAACCTTCAGCCAAATTCAGCAAAAACAGTTGACATCAAACATGATTGAGTATTGAAACCCTAAGACTCTTGATTAATAAGCCCCAATGGAATTGAAACACATCTTCATGTGGGGGGGGGGCTTATTAATCAAGAGTCTACAGTACAAGTGACGGATCAAGAGTCTTATTAATACTGTAATATTGTGCGGACAGATATCAACTTGAGTCAAGGTAAACCTCCAAGGCAAGCAGTTGAAGCGAGGCATCTAAGAAATCTACATGGCTGCCATCATAGCCAGAGGTGTTGACCACAGCCAGCCAAGGTCTTGGATATCAAATACGTGTATGATGTAATTTAAGGTTCCCTGACATCTGTCTGAGTGGACCCATTCTCATCAAGCATCGTCTCATCTGACTCGATCAAGAGTCGCCGCAGCCAATTCTGTCCACGCAACAGCCTGGAAGAGCCCAACTGCGAGTGCAGGCTGGGACACTTCCCAAGGAAATCCGTGTTTGTCTTCGTGTCGGATGTGCTTCTTGGATGAGGGTCTAGGACCTGCATGCTTTAGAGATGGTCATCTAATCAAACTCTTTTTCAAGCTGTCAGACTCCCTCCAAATCCTGCCTTGACTGCAGCATGAAGGGCCCGTTGACATACTCAAACCAGGGCCCAATCTTTCCAACACCTGACCAGAGACTAAACAATGCTTGTGGATGATTCCAACTTGAGAAACTTCAAAGTCCGGGGATTTTAAACTTCGAGACCAGTTGCGAAGCGTGGACAAATCTGGGATTACGAGGGATCCACACAGAAGCACGACTTATATAGGTTGGACGTTTGGACACTGTTCCAAGAAAACAAGACAGAAAGAATGAAAGAGTTCCCAACTGACCATGAGACATCGTGAGATGTAGAGAGGTAGAAACCAAATCCAAGAACTGCTATTGATCCACACTCCCTGAACCCATCATAGAAGTGGAAAATGGATGAACATAGCCCCTATGTCGACCATCTTCCTGTACAAACAGCATGGCTCAAGATAGATACCTGGGTGTGTATTTGAATACGTAGACCCCATGAGTCTTGAATGGTTTTGGTCTATTTCCCGAACCTTCCATGGGGTCGAACTGGGAGCTCTCCCTATTTTAATACACACCCACCTGAACGCATTGAAGTTCTTATATAAACTATGGATCCTCATTGTACATGTCATGATTGATAGAGTCCACCTGTGCCCTAGAGTCCGCCCAGTGACCTGAGAAGAACCATTGCAGGATCAATCCCAGTTGGATCCCTGCCATACGTCCCCTGTGCAGGGGGAAACAGGCAGAGAGCAGCATGCTGCCGTAGGCATGACCGCTGCCTGAAGTGACGTTACGAGGCATCTGACGTGAAGTTCGGACGGACTCCACTGCTGGCCCTTTGGGTTTGCTTTCCGGGACGCAAGGAGGACTCATGGCTATTAGGTTGGAGGCCATCGCTAGTAGGGTGAAGGCCATCACACTTAGAAACAAAAACAGGGGTTCATTCGAAGACATGTCATACTATGTCATACGAGTGCATCAAATGTTGGAACACTCCTCACTGGTTTTTGACGGTGTTCGATGTTGATAGTGCCATTTCGAGAATTGTCTCACAGGCCCATTTGTTCGAGTGCGAAACAACTTAGCAATTCAGCCATTCCCTTCAGGACAAAGCACTCGCGTAGAACTGGGTCATGTCGAAGACAAAGAGATAGACATCGCAAAGCATCAAGAGCCAAAGAAGCGCTACATTGTACCACGTGCCTGAGCGATTAGTGCCACCAACCACAACAATCTCTGCACGCCTTGAAGAGAATTCTCTTTGTGCTCGACTTGATCATGCTTCTCTAAGAGCAACCTCTGAGAATTACCCCCCTGCCCCTGCAGCACCTGCTTGCCAACTGTCTGCACCAAAAGTCCTTGTCCCATCCCATCCCTCAAAGCCCGGCCACTGAGGAGAAAGCCCAGGCCCGAAAGGAAGAAGATCGCGTGCACGAGGCGGTCCATGCCATTCCGGCGGTGGCCACCCAGTGCTGGAAGGAGCGAGTGCTTCAAGGTCCCCCTGCGCCGATGGAGCGAACCGGGTCCGGATGGAAATGCACCGAGGAACCCCCTGTCAAAAGTAGATACGAGCATCCACATGCACCGAGACAGTGGAAAGGGTCCCCACTTGAACTGCACAAACTTATTCTTGACCACTTCTAGCTGAGACATCTTCGACTGGCAGTGCATCTGCAAGCTCCCCGTTCTCTCAGGCTGTCCGACGTGTGCTTCGGTACCCAGGGTGGTTGGTCATGGAAGCCTTCACTCACCACGTCTGAGACAGGTGGATCCCTGGGCTTCCTCTCTGCTGGTAAGCCATTGTCCACAGCTAGGCCAATGGTCTAGAAAAGTGTTTGCAGTCGTCGATTACGACATGTCAATGTATATACATATAATAGAGTTCGGATGCCTGATGCATGTCGGTCTCTTGTTTTTGAAGCGGAAAGGTCCTTCATGTATTTCGTGCTCTGCTTGAGTACGACATAGCATGACTATACCTAAACCGTCCTAAATCTATCTAGATCATCTAGCTTAAAATATAACGAAAATCTATATATATATGTCATATGTCTATCAGAGGAATTTTCAGGAGAAACTTCCGTGCTATGAACATTTGGACATGTAAAGGACAAAAGGGTATGTTTGTGTTGCTCTGTAACTGAGGCGTGTTGCTGGTGAGTGCTGGATTTGGTGACACAATCACGCTTGGTGTCGTGCAGCCAGTTGTGATGTAGGAGATGCTCGTTGATCGGTTTCGCCCGGGGCTTCTATAATCACAGCAGTTGCCCTGGCTTGGTGAACCGATGGTCTTTGTATACGCCCCCCCTTCAACCACTTTGCCTCAAGGAACTGATGGTCTTTGCCGACCCACACCGATTTCATCCAATCCCCATAGCTACCACGCGTCCATAACGGGCTCAGAGACGAAAGCAGCATGGGGGTCGTCAAAAGGACAACGCACAACCGAAAGCAGGCATGAACGCGCCGTCTTTGGGGTTGAACGAGACAGTCGTGTCACTCACTTTTCACGGGTGTGTGTACCTTTGGTGCCCCTTGGCTTAAGACACAAGATATTTATATATGCATTTCCCTAGCACTGTTGAATCCCTGCAGCAATCGCATCAATCGAATCCCATCGATTCGGGTCCCGTCCAATCTGTCGAGGGAACGGCCTGGAGAGTCGATACAAGAAGTTGTTGGGAAAGCTGAGGCCCATCCTAAGACGAGGACAGCGGCTGCACAACGAGGACACCGAATTTCGCTTGGTGGTGTTTTTTGCCGATTCAGGATTGCCAGTGAGGCCAGTGAATGATGGACATTAGGAAGAGCGACTTGAAGGGGTGTCCAAATTGATAGACAGATTCTAATGGCATGACCATTATTTTTGAACAAGACCTTTACTAAACATCATGATGCAATGTTACTGGTAATATAGACCCAGCAAGTGGGTTTAGCGTTTTCTTGAGGGAGCTTCTGCCTTGCCTGCAGCTGCAGCTCCAACACTGCTGTTCCATGTCGCCAGGAGGGTAAGTCCAAGGGCCAACCGTGCGATCATCCGGACCCAAGAACACCCTCACTGAATCCAAGCAAAGGCTGGAACAGACTTGAAGAAACGAACACCCCACCAGGGATGATCTCCAGTGTTACATTGAACGTTTCTCAGTTGTTTGACCCTCACTTGAAATCAACGCCTGGAACCCTGGGTTCATCCGCGCGCACCGAAGGCGCGCCTGGGGCGCTTTTGGGAGGTGCATGTTCGTTTGGGAACGAACATGAGCTGTGTCTGGGAGAGGAGTCATCGTGTTCACATATCTTCTGTGTTTGACTATATGCATTCATTATCGTATCATGTGCATCAATAGGTCCATGAAAGGCAAACAAAACGAATCCTCTCAACAGTCTATGTCATAAACAACCTTTCATGATTGCATCATTTGCATCAGCTGGTTGCAATTGTAAAGTCTTTTTTTCACGGTAGCATGCGATAGCTGGTTGCAATTGTATTTCGTACAAAATGCCTTCTGAGAAATGAACAATCTCAAGGGTGTCGAAAAATATGTCCAACACCGCTAACAATCTGTAAAAAGGGTTCAAACATAGTGATTATGAAGAGACATAGCTTAAAGAAAGTGTAAGAGGATTCAACCATAGAGTGTTATAGACACTTCTCTAAATAGTATTCATCCACTTCATGCTGCGTTCATCTCTCAGCATTGTGTCAATCATGCACATTGTATAGTTTGTTGATGTTTATTGTATATATATTCACTCTAATTTTCGACCACCTTAACATTGTACACTTTTCAGGCTGTCCAAATGATATTCATTTGCAAAGCAATGTTGGCCATAATTTGGACCCCCTGAAAAATGTATATACTATTTCAAGGGGGGTCGAAAAATATATTCAACGATGCTTGCAGCGAGAGGTGCAAGTAACACATCACTAATTAGACAACTCCAAACTTCTATTACCCCCTCTCTAAGAGCTACTGGTGCAGGCTCTTGTTGTCGCGAAGCGACCTGAATAAACAATAATTAATATCAAGCCAAAACAACCAAAATTGCTTCCAAGCTTCAGTGGGCCCTGGCGACATCCAAGCCCTTCTGCCAGATGCTGCCATACCACCAGCTTCACGAAAAGCAGCATCCGATAGTCCTCCTATAGCCATGGGCGTTGAAGAGACACGGGGCGACTGCTCTTCCCGAGAAGAACGACTGCCCAAGGACCCATGGTTCTTCGACTCAAAATACATTGGTTTGAGTGCTGCTGGAGTTGCTTGAAGCACTCTTGAGTCATAAGCATCACCAAAGGCACTTCAACAGAACTTGGAAATAGTAGAAGATGGTGAATACTCCCACCAGTAGCCACTTGATGCTTGATTTCAATCCACGAAAGCACTACAGTCACTACAGTAGAAAGAAACTCTAGTCCAGTCTCTAGATGTCTCTAGTGAAGCTCTTTGTCAGGCACACACTGAGATCCTTGGAAAGACTCGGAGAAGCTGGCACCAAAAGCATCAGCAGAGCGTAGCACCTGCTACAGCGGTGCAAACAGCGCTGTGGAGAATTATCAAGGCACGCCCAGTAACACCCATGAGAACAACGGTCTAAAGAATGAATGAGCCAATGTCACTAAGACCATCCATAATATGCAGGATGCATGGACACTCTTCCCCACTCAAGGTTTTCGTGTACATTCAATTCTCTTGTCGCAATGATAAACCTTTTGCCACACACCACTCAATGAAGCAAGCAGCCGAAAGAAGCAATCATTGCAATTCATTGCCCAATCATGTGATATCCCTTCGGACCTGTGTGTATATGCTTTGTCTTCCATCCAATATATAATATGGAGACAGTCTGTGGCAGTGGGACGGGTCAAAATCCACCATTGACACCGGCCCGTACGCCGTATACCCGTATTCCTGGTATATGATCTACCTGTCTACTGTCTTTGGAACCACATTTTGTGCCCTGGAACGCCACACTTTGCAGTGAACCTTCACAAATGGAAGAGTCACCAGCAGCAGTTACCCGGAGGATTCATCGTCTTACCCACACATTCATTCTCTTGGAGCGATCCGCGTGACTCGCACCCAGCGTAGCGATCCGCAACTGGGCACGAGTAGTTGGTGAGCAGCATGACGATGTGGAACTTCATGAGGATCGAGGGCCGTGTCATCCCATGTTGAGTGATCCATTTGGCGAAATGGTCCAGTCGATGCCCCACCGACATCGAGGTAAATTTCTCCTCACCGTCGCGTATCAGTCAAAGCAGAGTATCGACCCTTGATCAACCGAAGTGGTGTGCAAGACTGTGTGCAAATCCCTCATCCCATTAAAAAGTGTTAAAGAATCCAATCACCGTCCCAGCGGTGCAGTGACCAAACATCGGCCGATCCCAGTGATCGGCCGTATCAGTTCTCCTTGGGTAGCTCGAAGCAATCAGCATTCCAATCCCCCTGCCGGCCAGCGGTCTCGATCGCCACGCCAGCCATGATCGATGTCGATCGCCAGTTGGATGAAGAGTTCGGTGAGTTCGGTGCACAAGGTGTTGGTTCTTCCCCTCCTTTGGGTTCATAAGTACTTTTGCAGGTCTAGATTATACAAAGCGTATCATAAGCACTGTCATGTCATCTGTCCGTTTGCAAGGCAAAATGTTCTCCATTCACAAAACTTATAGAGGTGACCAATCTAATTTGAGACCTTTGCCACCCAGTGAGGCGAAAACATTCTAAGACACGGAGTGGGGCAGCAAATGGTCTTCCACAGGGGTAGTGTCAACTCCGTGCTCTTCTTTGCTATGGGGAGTTTCACAGCAGCGGCTTGAGAATTTCACATACTCTATATAACCATATCAACTATGTGTCAGCTGTGAAATCAATCACTCCATGTCTGCCGTTCCTTCTCCGGACCGCTGCCTAAGGGTGGGCCCAAACGGCTGCGTTCAAACAACACACTTAGACCACGGGTTCTGTGTCTGGTTCCTTTCTGTGGTTCACCACTGTCCATTGGGAATTGATTTCACCTCTCAGGCGTTGAGATATACCTACAATGGTCAGCATGGCGTGTCAGTTCAGCGAATTCCGGACACACGGATTGATCCACAAGACGGATCGTATGTGTATGAAACCCGTGGTCTAGCGTCCTTGTTCCTAGTAGCGAACCTTGTTCCTAGTAGTAAGG